TCCTTGTGGGAGGATAGACACTGAGCCAAAAGCATTGCCAGCATCTGCCAGATACTTTTAAAAGGCTCTTCTCCCCCTTGCTGTAGGTCAGATCGGTGATATTAACTGACACAGGAGGCAGCTCTTCCCTGTCCTTCAGCAGGCTTTTATACAGGTTCTGAAAATACACTTGAATATGAGTTACCAGCAACATAAGCTGTTAATTGCACCAAAACCACCAAGAAATGGAATGTATTTTGCCTCTGTTATCCCAGTGCATCTGCTAGGACTGTTAATGCTTGTCAACCAGCCCTCCTTCTGGGCTTGAGAGTAAATTGATTTGACCTGAGAACATCTCAACAGTGGTTGCAGAAAGTCAGGTGTTGATCAGAGCAGGGCGATACCTAGGGATGTGTGAAGGATTCAGCTTCCCCACAACAAGGAGAGTTCTGCCCTTGGTTGCTGGCTTGGGTTGTCATCCTGCCATCTTGCTGAAATCCGTGAGCTCTTGTTCCTCAGGATTGGGAGCGGTCAGCAAGCCACTGGAACGTGAGGGTTTCCCTGGCGCATGTAGATGAATCCTGAATGCGAATCATTCTTTCCTTTGCAGGGCAACCTCCTCCTGACTGGTGACAAGGATCAGCTGGTAATGCTGCTGGATCAGATAAACAGCACCTTTGTCCGCTCCAATCTCAGCGTCTTGCAAGGCCTATTACGCATCATCCCTTACCTGTCCTTTGGGGAAATGGAGAAAATGCAGATCCTGGTTGATCGATTCAAGCCCTATTGTAACTTTGACAAGTATGTTTAGGTTTTTTTCCCTCCTAATTTGAGCACAAAGTTATCTTTAATAAATCAAGAGCTCTGCTCGTTGTAATCTAACGCAGGGTTTCCAGGCTGGTATATAAGCTTAATATGCCATCTTTTTTTTTTTAAGGAAAAAACCCATCAAGATGAAACCATCTTTTTTTTTTTTTTTTTTTTTTAAGTGCTATATGAACCAAAAACATCTGGGAAGTGCTGGTTTGCAGGGTATTTGCAGAAGGGCACACATCTGGCTTGAGGAGGGGAATTCACTGTATAGGGCTGGATGTGATGTGTGTGTTCGTTAACAGGCAGAATGAACAGTCATACACGTTGAGTCTACAAGAGAGAGTCTTACATATATTGCTGTTCCTGTCCTCACTTAGGTACGATGAAGAACACAGTGGAGATGATAAAGTTTTCCTGGACTGTTTCTGTAAAATAGCAGCTGGCATAAAGAATAACAGCAACGGCCATCAATTGAAAGATCTCATCCTCCAGAAGGGGATTACTCAAAATGCCCTTGACTACATGAAAAAGCATATCCCTAGTGCAAAGAAGTAAGAGTTGCTTTGTATGTGGCAATTCTGTGTATCTTAGCCTTATTCCATCTTCCATCAGATGAATATTTTTTTTCCAGAGTAAGTGTTAGGAATTCTGTACTTGGGAAGAGTTTGGCTTGGTGAAACCACAGGGAGTATAATCTTGAGAAAATCCTTCAGTCACTGGTTTAGATCATCTAACAGGCTCTGTTGCCACTGAGGGCCGCATCGGAGGGACTTAAAACCAAATCTGAAGTGAACAACTGATTGGCGTGCTCTTACTATGTGCAGTGTGGGGAGGAGAGAGTGTTGACCTAATTTCATGTAATTGGACCTGAGGAAAGGTACTTTGTGCTTGATAGCTTGTTGAAGATCTCTCCCAACTATGCAGGTGGTCCAATAAAAGATATCGTCCCAAAAAATCCTTGCTGCTCACTTCGTGTAACTTAAAATCTATACCAAGTAGTTACGCTAGGGTGGGATGGATCAATCTGGACCCTTTGACTAGGTTTAAAATGTATGTGCGCGGAGTGGGGCACAGGAAGGGGACTTGATTTTCAGCCCATCTGGTGTAATCTGGACCATTGGCTGGAGTGTAGCCATCTTTTCAGCACTGGTAACTATTGTTGAGGCACTTCATGATATTTTTTACCTTTTTTGTGTAGTTTGGATGCAGACATATGGAAGAAGTTCTTATCTCGCCCTGCACTTCCCTTTATCCTGAGGCTGCTTCGAGGGCTGGCCACACAGCACCCTGCCACACAGGTGAGAGCTTCTGTCTTGGAAATGAGTCAGAGGACACATGGCTGCTTTGGTAAAGATGGCTTTATATGATGGCTACAGCTAACACAGTGTTCTTGTAGTAGCTGATTACCTGTTTTTTGTGGTTGAGTTGGAAGGCCACTTACTGTAGAGAGTCGATCTCTTTGGCAAGGCTAGTCAATTTATGCCATTGTTTAAATGGAGAAATTTTCAAAATAACTACTTTCTGGTACTGAGTGGCACAAAATTTGTTACATTTCCTTTGAAGAAATTGATGGTTGAAGACTGTGCTCTGAGAGATTCCCTTTGGCCTAACTAATGTTTTAAGTACCTGCATAGCAGTCTTGTTTCAGTTCCTAGTGCTGTCTGGTACACGGACAAAACTGCACAGTCTGGGGATGTAATTTTAGGGCGGGTGCATCACGGACGATGGCAAATGTCCAGTCTTGGGAAGCTGTGGTATTATAAAGAAGTGCTTCCTTAACATTGCTTGCAGTGGCCCACACCTGTAGCTATCGCACATCGTGGCTGTTGTGGGAAGGCTTATGTGGAAATTCAGTTCTCTTTGGGTTTTCTTTACAAGGGTGCTGTGTTTCAATCTTCTAACAGGTGCTAATAGGTACAGACTCCATTACAAACCTGCACAAACTTGAACAAGTGTCAAGCGATGAAGGGATTGGGACACTAGCTGAGAACCTGCTGGAGGCGCTAAGGGAACATCCAGAAGTGAACAAGAAGATAGACGCAGCCCGCAAGGAGACCCGTGCAGAGAAAAAGCGCATGGCCATGGCGATGAGGCAGAAGGCTTTGGGCACATTGGGCATGACGGTAAAGTTCCTCTGCACCCGTGGAGGCCAGTGCTGTCTTTATCATCTGTTCTCTTAGGGAATATGCCACTTCCTTTTCTTTGGGTTTTTATGCGACTTGGGGAGAGTGAAAGTCGTATATCAGACCCGAGGCTAGAATTCCTCTGACCCGGTGGTGCTGGTGGTGCCTGGGGAACTCCAGTTTTGGGGTCAGTGATAATGCTGCTTATTGCCTATGGGCCAAAAAGAATGGGACCCCTCCCGGTAAGGAGGAAGCAACAGTCCTTGCCCTGACTACTCGCCTTAAAGGACAGGACACACAGGATGGGGAAAGCGTATACAATATGAGAGCAAAGTCATCAGTGTGTTGGAGGCAACTGTCACATTAGCCACACAGTTTGTCTTATGTCTGCAATAGTCTCTGGTCTTGTCACCTGGTGGCCAGTGGCTTAAGAGCTTTCTATACACCGGCAGTTTCTTGTTGTAATCTAGGATGGCAGGAAATCTAAGGTACCAAACATTGTAATTCCTCCTTAATTTTGGTTGGCAACATTACTTAATAGAAAGTGAAGGGCTTCTAATTCAGCTGATAGGCTGCTGGCAGCTGTAAAACACAAAATGCTGCTTGAGTTTAATGTTCTTCCTTTCTAGTAACAAACTTGCTCTCTGACTTGGCAAGTGTGAATTCCTCTCTGGTTTCATTCTCCTAACATGCTTGACTTGCTCTCTCTTACAGACTAATGAGAAGGGCCAGGTGGTGACAAAGACTGCGCTCCTCAAACAGATGGAGGAGCTAATAGAAGAACCAGGACTGACTTGCTGTATCTGCAGAGAAGGGTATAAGTTTCAGGTATGGCATCAGGAGGGCCCTGATGTGATACAGGGAGATCCACAACTGTGTATCCACAGCTCTGTATCTAAGTGCCTGACTGAGTCATGGCATACTGCAAGACCAGGAGATTATTTTAGAGATCAATAGGGCTCTGGTGTGCTTTGGAAACAGGAAGTGCTCTCAACCTCCTTTTGCCTCTAGCCCTCCTCTAATTCTGGAGGAGGTGCTGGTTTCCAGGAAGGAGGTGTGGAGCTCCTCCTAAGTGTGTGTGGAGGATCCTCCACAGCTAATTGGTACGAAATACCCAGCCTACTTTAAACAGAAGGCATTTTCTGGTGGGCTGGTTCTGCATACAGAACAGAGGCTTAGCAGTCTGTTAGCTGGAGTGGATAGGTCCAACAGAAAAGTCTGTGCCCATCTCTTCTTGCTGTGGGGCTTCACGCTCCAGTTTCCAGTGTGGCCCTAGCTTCCTTGTTTCCATGACTCCCCTTTCCAGATGGGAAAAATGAGTTAGTTGGTAGATACTTGGAAAGCTTGTTTGACACTAATACTTTCTTATGGACATAGGGTCAATTAACTCTTGAATGGTTGGCAAGCTATTAACTGCTCACAGGCACAAGTATTTCATCTCTAATGAAGCTCTGGTTGGCCGTTACAGCCTGCGAAGGTCCTGGGGATTTACACTTTCACCAAGCGAGTTGCGCTGGAGGAGTTTGAGAACAAACCCCGGAAGCAGCAGGGCTATAGCACGGTCTCTCATTTCAACATTGTCCATTATGACTGTCACCTTGCTGCTGTGAGGTAAGATCTTCTTGCCATCCGCCAGGCCATGGCACTGGATGTTCCCTTCCGTGGTGTTTCATCAGAGCGTTTAATATCCCTTACACTATAATTTGACATGGTTGTGCTCTCCTGTTCACCCCACAGCTAAAGAACAGCCATTGTTCTCCACATTTTAATTATGGCCTCCCTTAATGCAGTTAGACATTGTGAAGCACTTGGAAGTAAAAAAGCTCTACGTGATATCCTAAATGCCGGTTGAATGGCCCTAAACAGCTACAGAATCACCGCCCTTTTGATCACTTAGACAAAATCTTATGCATCTCTAACCTATCTGCACATGGTGCCTTTTTGCCAATACAGACTAGCCCGTGGCCGGGAGGAGTGGGAAAGTGCAGCTCTGCAAAATGCCAACACCAAGTGCAATGGGCTTCTCCCAGTCTGGGGGCCTCATGTGCCGGAGTCTGCCTTCGCCACTTGCTTAGCCAGGTGAGTACCGAATGCTCCTCTTCCTGATGGCTGGTGTCCTAGGCAGGAGGTGTCTGAGGCATGCATGTTTCAGACTGCAAGCAGAAGGTGATATTACAGCCCTGTTAGCATTGAGGTTTCATTACTGATCAAAGTTCCAGATTGTAAGGCATGGCCGTAACGTGGGTTGCACTGCTATGTCATTTCGTTTTTCTCTCCTGGAGATGGATAAGGTAGAAACAGGAAAAACCAATTATCTTAGCCCCAAGCTAACTGTGAACCTGCAGCATGGCTGATAATCTGTTTCTTCTAAGAAATGAATTCCTTGACACTGTCCACCAGATGCAAATTTTGCCCCTGCCTCTTGTAACCCCCCATCAAGCACTAGTGCAACGAGGTATCTGGTGAGGAGCAGAGGGCAGCTCCGGTGGGGTTACCAGGTTGATACATCTGTGTATTGTGGCTCGTTTTTTAATCACTTCAAGGTCTTGAGTCTCCATTCTTCACTGTTTAGTGCTTGCGACTGGGCTTGAATCATCCGCAGGGGAAACTGAAGGGATGGTAAACTACTTTAATCTTCGTGCTGATGAATTCTTGTGCTCTCTGAGCAGTCTCAGAGGGAGCTAATCATGGTGGGGGCTTGCACGACAAACCTGATTGACACCAACAAGTCATTTGAATATATTGCCAAACAGCTGTCGGATGGTAATGGCTTCCAATCACTGTGGGATTCTAACCCTTGACCCGAAGCGGAAAGACTCCGTATTTCATTACCAGTGCTCTGAGCCATCTAGTCCCATCTTTCTGCATTTGTACTGTTGTGTTAGATACTAGAATTAGTTGGACCTCCAGCCTGTATCCGTTAGGGAGCCTCATCCCTGGCAGTGGGCCTCCTAGTAAGAAGGAAGTACCAACGTTTATATGCAGGAAGACCAGCCTGAATTGGATTTCCAGTTGAAGGTGAAAGACCTACGGCATTAACTGCAGATGGTTGGGTGTTTCAGCCTCCTGACTTTATTTTCTTGGTGCCCTTCTATGCTGTATCTGCACAGGTTCTGATCCATCTTGTTCGCAGCAGGCGGGATAGCTCTGTTCCCTAAGTTGGCTTAATGCATACAGTTTAATCCACCACTCTTTTTTTCCAGACACAACACTTACCTCCAGGAGTGCACGGGGCAGCGGGAACCCACCTACCAGCTCAACGTCCATGACATTAAGCTACTGTTTCTCCGCTTCGCAATGGAGCAGTCGTTCAGTGTGGACACCGGAGGAGGAGGAAGGGAGAGCAACATACACCTCATTCCATACATAATTCACACTGTGCTTTATGTCCTCAACACGTCAGTATCTGTGTGTGTCTGTCTTGGCTGTCTGTCTCCCACTAGTGACAGGGTGACTCTCAGAGCTCCAGATGATAAATACACGAACAGCTGCCATAGAGCCTCCTGTTGGGTGTCACTGTGGGTGTGGAAGCTTACCCAGCTTGCTGGGGGCAGAGGGAAATGGCAGCGGGGACAGAGATAAATCTCGCAGCAATTGTGGTCCTGTTCAGGACTGTGAAATGTGCACAGTCGCATTCCAGCTTGACACGGAGGAAGAGAGCTCACATGCAGGGTGTGTTCATGCTGCATTGTGTGCATTTCCTCCCTTACAAGAGAGGTGATTGGAAGACAGGACAACCTCTAAATGTTTTTAAAAGGGAACAGAATACACCCCTGACGCAGGTGTTAGAGGTAGTAAATATTTTGCAGCAAAACACAGCAAATTGGGATGTTCAGGGAACCTAGTGGAGAAAAGCAAAATGTGATTTACCCCCTCTTCCATTCTGTGTGTAAGCATCATTTCCGTGCTGGAGGATGGTTGGGTTACTTGAGCGAAGAGCACGCTGCCAAGGTTAAGCCATGTTTTGGAAGCAGGTGCTCAGATTTTTCTCTCTTCTTGGAAAGCAAACCAGCCAGTTTTCCTTCCAAGTTCTCATGCTGTAGCACTGTGCTGTAATGTTTGGATTGCAAGGTGCTGCAGTGAAATGCTCACTGGAATAAAAAATCTGCTTCTGTCAATAAAATGGATGGATAGATGGATTAGATTTCTTTTTTTTTTTTTTTTTTTTTTTTTTTTTTTTTTTTTTTTTTTTTTTTTACAAATCCTAAATATCAAACCCAGTTTGGCCTGGACAGCATGTCCAGCTGCACAGTGCTGTAGGCAAGCATCAGCCTAAAATGTTTCTGACTAATTGGGCTTGATGTGGTATTAGAGAGCGTGTTGCACAAAAGTAGGGTCTGCGATTTGTTGTTTCAGCAGCAAGGCCAAAGGGGGCAATATTAATTATAGATGAGGCATCTCATAGAAAACAGATGTTGAAACCTGTGCCCCTTTACTCCAAGGTTGGTCTAAATCAAATTGCAGCCTGGTTTTTCCCCTCTCCCCATCCCCTAAACTAATCAACACTTTGACTGTGTATACAATGTGTGCTTTGCTTTTAATATCTACCTGCAGAATCCACCCTGTAGTTTTCTGATCCTTTATGAGACACCAAAGTTAAGCTGTTTGTTCATCTTTGAACTCCCCTTGCCAGCACTGGAGATCCCCCTGTGACTTTTTTTTTTTTTTTTAAGACTACGAATGCATTATGCAGCTTGTTGAAATGTTTTGTTTTTGTGGGTTTTTTTTGAAAAGCAGTATTTTGTAGCTGCATACTCTCCACAGTTGCTATTAGCTGGCAAGCAGCTTCAGGACATAGCGAATGAGAAGGACGCAAGCCGTTGGACTCCTAAAGACAGTTCCCCTCTGCTGGGGATTCTCATTTTTCCATCACTGAGATGTTGGGATTGGTTGTGAATTTTACAAGAAGCTAGCAGCGTCCTCTCCCATTCTGATCAGTCACTGATCAGGTTGTAGTATTTTATGATCCATGTTTACAAGGCCTATGAATTTCTTTCTCTCAGGTTGATTGGACAGCTATAGGCAGCAATAAAGTTTATGCTTTTTTTTTCCCCCATGAGAGAGGAAAACAAATCAGTTATATTTAACTGAAGTGCATCTCAGTTTTTGGTGTAGGCCTTGATTGCTACTATAAATAAATAGCACAAGCTGATACAAAGATCCAGCCACACCAAGGTCTAGGGGTAGGCGTTGTGTGCTGCCCATAGAGTAATTATTTCAGCTCCTGGGGCTGGAGTTGCCTCCCTTTTTTTGCTTGAAAAGCCTAAAAGGCTTTTATAATAGTTGTTGCCCTCTAGTTGGGGGATGTGGACTGCCTTGTGTGAACCCCTCTGCTCTTTTGTCCGCTTAGTCTGGAGGAAACCACACTACAGAGACGGAATAAAATGCTAGTGGCTTGTGAATTGTTATACGGAAATCCATCAGAGCGCTTTAGAGTATTTACATGCAACAGCCAACTGCCTAGACTAAATGTATCCGTGCGTTTTGTATTCCAGAACCCGAGCAACTTCCAGGGAGGAGAAAAACCTCCAGAGTTTTATGGAGCATCCCAAGGAGAAATGGGTGGAGAGTGCCTACGAGGTGGATGGGCCCCATTACTACACAGTTCTGGCCCTGCACATCCTGCCCCCGGAGAAGTGGAAAGCCATGCGGGTGGAGATCCTGAAGAGGCTCTTAGTTACCTCGCACGCGCGTGCAGTGTCGCCAGGGGGAGCCAGCAGGTTGGTAATCCGGGCAATCCTGGCCTTCCATTCATTCCCACAGCTGTCTGGGGAACATACTCATGTTACCTTCACACTCGTTAGAGTTGCATAGCAACAAATGCCGGATTGAGCAAAGGAATGTTTATGTTTTGGAAGAGTCAATATTAACCCTTTCTGTATGCGTTTGTATTTAAGTCCTGAGGACACAGGAACATTTAATGATATGCCCTCATTAGGATGCACTTGGGATTGCTTGGGCTTTCTTCCATACGGTTAGCTATATTCCCTCCCCCACCCTATGAAAGAGGGCTTGAAATAGCAGTCTGCTTTGTACACTACATTCACTTCCAGAGCTTTAAGCTGTATCTAGGGTGATGGTGATGATGAGAGAATGAAGTAGGGGAGAGCTGGTGGGTTAGAGATCACATCACTTACTCAGTGCTGCCTGCTACTTAGTAGTGAGTGGGATTAACTGTATACGACAGCTCTAGCCACCCCTATCATGACTGGAGAAAATCTCTTGGAAAGGTCTGAAGGGCCTTTCCGAGACTTGATCTCCTTCCTTTTCTCCTAAAGGGGGCAGTTAAATTCAATTTGGTGCGTTACAGAACAGTCGAAAAAATGTCACTTAACTGGCACTGTTGAAGCTTTCTGGGGAAGATGCCGTACAGAAAATAGTTGTAAACAACTTGAAAGATCTTCTGGGAGGCATTCAAGTGGCACTGCCAAGCTGAGAAAAATTTGATCTAACTTCTCTCCTGCACAAAAAGAATTGCTGCTGGGGTTTGTTTTGTTTTTTAAAGCTGATACCAGCAGTATTGTAGCAACAGATGGCTGGCCATGGCTAACAGCAGATAAAATATTCCATGGGGGGGGGGCAATATTTAAATTCCAGTTTCTAAAAGGGTCATTCTTAAATAGCTTTCAGGATTACAAATAAATCTATATCTTGAGAATGGCTTTTGAGATGACTTACCAATCTTTCTTTGAATAGTTGCCCCCATAATTATGTGCACGGCAATCTGGCTGGGTTACAGTAACGTGCAACACGGCAAACATCTAAAGATAACATTTCTGATGCATTTCGATAGCGCTGAAGTGGTCTCTGAGGCTTTAAGGGGCTGTCATCCATGGTATTGATTTCTTTTTAGTTTCTGCTGTTCAAGCTAAATCAGCCCTTGATTCATGTCTTACTGTCCATTTCCCTTGTCTCTGCTCTGGAGTTCTGGGAAAACGGGCTTACTGCTGAAGGGAGACATTCTCTCGGGGGTCTGGCTTCAGCACTTCCACCTTCAAAGACAATAGGACCTGCAGTATTTCACTGCGTCTGCAGAGGAGCCTAGAAAAAATTATGGCCTTCTGTGCTTTGATATGCATCTTTTGAGTGTAATACAGCTGGGAATCCCCAGTAAAATGCCTGGTCTTTTCTTTTCCTGTGTAACTAGCGCACAATTCATAATTTCTGAGCATGTGTACAATAAAAGCCCCTCAAAATCAGCATAGCAGAAAATCTGTCCCCTCTTTCCATATCCCCAAAACCTCAGGAAGAGCCATGGTGGCTGGCTTTCCAGGCATGTCACAAGGATTCCTCAAGTGCCTCCTCTTTCCTTTCGGCCAAGAGAATGAAAATTTCAGAGACAGCCTTTCA